TTAACATCGTTATTGTGATGGAAGTGTTACATACGAACATTTGGGGGAAGTGGTGGCGAGTTGCCAGCATGCCAGGCAAGTTTATGGACAGGTGAAGGATTCATGATAATGTTCAAAGCTGCCATTTTTCCAGGGCTTAAATCAGGGGCACCTGCAGGCTGAGGTTTTAACTTAATTTAGTCAGTTTTACAGGCATGCTGCTGCTGGTGTCACATAAACAGTAGGCAGGAGCAGCAGGGATAGGCATTGATGTCCGTTCACATGAAAAAGGAGAATATATGAAAGAAACAATACAAAGAGAGGAGGTTGAATTTTCTAAAGTTGGGTTCCCAGAGCCAGAGAGGAGCTTTGCTCTTGTTCAAAGTTATGTACTTAGAAAGTGCTGCCAGGTTGACCTCTGTCTTGGCTTGTCTTATTTTCCTCCTTGATCTAGGAAATACCTAAGCCCCTCATTCCAGTCATCCTCTTATGCCTGTGCTGGAGCTCTCAAGCACATGGAACTTCTGGACAAGGTGGTGGATGTGGTTTGGGATTTCATCAGATGGATTTCACCACCTGACATTGGGAGGGAAACTCTTGCATGGCTGCACTGCTCACATGCTTCTGGTGGAAAACAGTGAACCTTTTCTTGAATGTGATTGTATGGGAAACCAGGCCCTGATCTGGAATAGTTCAGGACCTCGGATGCTGGTTTGAACTGGTCTTTAAGGACTCATCAGTTTTTAAGTCTTCCTGGCAGAAACTTGCACTGCAACTATTGGCCTGTGAAATGAAGTAAAAGAACCAAAACAGTATTTGAGTGGCCTTAAAGCCTCTTTGGAGGGATCTCTTCTTTTGGTTGGCAGTTTTGTCTTCATAAAGACATCTGTGACACAGTTTTGAGCGTGCTCCTGTGGGATGCTTCCCAAAGCAGTCCTTTTCCCTGAGGTACTCAGAGGCTGATTTTGCAACCAGGTCCTTCATTCCTGTTGGTTTCAAAGGGCTTCACCGTATCTGCGTATCTGGTGGGAGGGAGCAGCCCAGTGCTCTATGGGGCTTCGTAGTCAGTTCAAGTGGAGACTCCAGGCTGCTTGCTCTCCCATGGCTGCTGGAGACACGTCATGCGGCCTCGGGCTCCCGACGCTTTCCTTGATGGTTCCTTGTAGTCATTATCCCACATTCCTTTTGGTTGCAGAACATGTTGTTATTATTGCTTTGTGCTGGGTCTGTCTCCTGTCCCTTTTTTACAGGCCAATCTAGCCCTGTTTGCTCTTGCCTCTAAAACAAAAGCAAATTAGCACTGCAGAAGCTAAATTATTTTGTTTATGTTATGGTCTGTCAGAGGACCCCATACAATCCTTGTCCATCTCCCCATGCAGAGTACCAGTGAGTTAGGAGACATGGTAAATACGAGTTAGGAGACACGGTAAATCTGTCAGATCCTTCTGACACCCTGGCTTGATCTGCAAGTTCCCAAAAGGGTCTTTAAATTAGTGGTTTTGGAGGGAACTAAGGCTGGGGAGTGATTCCTGCTGCCCCTCTGTCACTTGTGGTGCTTCAAGCATGCCTGTAGCGTACAGAATTAGCAATTTTTTACAGTAAATTGTACCTCACAATTCAAACTTGACAGCTGTCTATGAAATTTTATGCTCAAAACTGATCTCGAGCACATTGCCTTCTAGCTAGTCTATCCGTGCTCCCTCGGCCAGGATGTTTATAATACTCAGGGAGTCTCTCATGTTACTTAGTGCAGTAATGTGGCTCCACGAATAAAAGCCATTTCCAGTCTGTTGGTATTGCATGTAACAAATGAGATCAGCTAAATGCGCTTGTCACCAGTGGTAGGAACAGAAGAAACAGAATTGCACATGTTGCTGTAATGATTCTAAGTTATAATGAACGATATTTTCGTATGTTTGCAAATGAGTGTCTGATAGCTGGTGCCAGAGTGGGAGATATGGCTTGGCTGATCTCGCTGTTTTTGTAATTTCTAAACAGAAACAAGAATTAGAAAATTACTTTGTGGTGGAGCGCAAATATGTATAACATAAGTGTAAAGACTGCGGTGCAGCACACGTGTATCTCTCTTATACATATGCTAATCACAAGACTCACAGAAAAACCATTATAACGTGTGATGGCATCAGCACTAATTAGCTGGAGATCCAGTCTGTTCCTCTCTGCCAAAGTAAATCGGAGTTATCTCAATCTCAGATTTCATATTTCCTCCTTTCTCTTTCAGGGGAGGAATGTCTCTGTCACAAGGTATTATGTCCTGAATTGAAAAGGTCTTTAAAGGCTCACAAAACTTTTCAAATTAAAATTCTGAAGTCATTTTTGCTATTAACTTATCTGCACATCACCCAACAGCTTTAATACTAGCTGTGGACCCAAATATTTAAAGCATTTTGCCCATAAATGGGAAACAGTCGGTGTGGAAGTGCTGTAGAAATCAAGGCTTATAAAATGTAATGAGAACAGAACGGAGAAACTAAGCTAGGAAAGCGAAATTTTAACTATGAGGCACATTGTTTTCAGGAGCAACACGTGAAGGAAAACTGTCCAAGCTGAACACGATCCCCAGGAGCTGTGTCACAGGGCCCGGTGGTGGAACATCCCCTCGTGCTTCCATACCCGACAGCCATTTTTCGCGGGAAGGAGACCCACGGCTCTGACCCACGGGCCGGTGGAGGTGACAGCAGCGTGGAAGACCCCGGCGGGGCTGAGCGGGAGGCGCAGAGACCCCCGTGGGGGCCGCGGCCGCGCCCTGCCGCCGGCAGAGCTGCCTTACCTCTGCCTCAGACCCGAACGGGGGCTCTTCATAACCGGGGGAAAAAACCCACAGCCCAAACCCGGCTGCCGTGAAACTTTTTTGCCCCCTCGCACAGCCGCGGGC